AGCCATGATGTAAAGGAACTAACATCTGTATCTTATACTACTTATAAAAGTATCTTAAGATTTTCAATACCCATGTTTCTCGAAACTGACACTTTGTTCCACTCCTTTCATTTGATGTACAACTTTTAATTTACTCTTTTATCATTATACCAAACTATAAAGGCCATTTTGTCCTTTATTCAATTACCTAATACCATTACCTTCTTTTATATTTAAATTTCCAAATTATCTTCTAACATTTCCTTTAGTTTTATTTATACTCTACATTTATATTCTCCTCTCTTTTTTGCATTTATTTTTTGAATGTTAATCTTAATCTCATGTATCAGCAGGCTTCAATTTAACAATTTTTTTTTCTTGCAACTCTTATAAGTTTTGAATTTATCCAAACACCCATTTAGATAGAGACATTAGCTAGGAATATAATCACTCTTATGTTTTTGGTTTATTATCATTCAAAGGAAAATCATGCTCAATTCACTGTGAAAGGGTGTGTGAGTCTCTCATCACTCTGGCCAGTACTAACACACACTTAAACCACTGTCAATCCATTTTTTTCTCCATGTGTTTTCTTCTAGCCTTTTCTCGTTCGGTGATGTTAATGTGTAAATTAATCTCGGCCTAGAGATCTAGTTGACGTTTGGAAGGAGTACATTGATATCCTTGAAAGAGAGAACGTGGCCATCCTGACCTATAGAGGGAAGGACTTTTTATACTTCTGCCACTTGAGTAAGGAAATGTAAGGCTTTCAAAAGTGTCTTGGACATATGAAACCAGGACGATAGAATTGAAAGTGGAGGAGAAAGAGGGTGAAGAATGTGTTGAGATACCCATTGTCATTTAATGAGCGAAGTTGCCGAAGCGAGTCTAAAGGCCAAATAGTGATATGTGTAAATTTCATGCTCTACGCGCTTGATTATTTTTGTTATTTTTATAATAAATTTTTTTTAATATTGTATTTTTTAGAACTTTTTGCACTTTGTTAAAATAAAGAGGTCCTAGGTATCTACCTATGATGCACTGCTTCCGAAATACACGGATTGGTTACAGTCCCTCCTGTGATACTCCAACCGCCCCATGTTTTACCATCTTGAATGCCTTACCCACAAGATAGATAAATAATAAATTGTGCTTGATATTAGCACCTCTTTTGCTTCAAGTAGTTTTTGTTGATTGTTGATAATTCATGGATGCTATTTGTGTGAGTTACAGGCTTTTTGAAGGAACGTTTCATACAACTGTTGACAAATCTTTGCACTAGTGGGTGTGCTGATGACTGATGTTTGAGCTCCCTGTTATGTATCCGCTTCGATGGAAACTCAAAAACACAAAAAAGTTGGTAGCAGCACTTGCCAAGTCCATGTTTGTGCATTTTCTTTCATATTTTTTTTTTTTTGTTTTTTTGGTGAAATGTGTTTGTTTTGGACATTGAGATTGAAATCTGCTATAGTGTGTTAAGTGTTGGCCATCGACATTGCATTAATGATGTGTGTATCAAATGACTTCTTTTTTTTTCTTTAACTTAGTACCTCCCTAAGGTATGGCCACGTTGGATCCATCCCTATATAGATGGGTACTGTACTTTGAATTATGTATCAAATAACATTTATTTTGTATACTGCACTTTCAATAGAAGTTTTTTTAATATATCATTTTCAACCATGTTATAGATGTTAGTTCGTATACTGCACAATTAATCTTGTTTGATTGATTGTGGTTTTAGGTATTACACTTTGAAGTGTGTGGTATACGAGCTAACATCTATAACATTGTTGAATTAACATCTATAAGCAAAGACTATTCCTAAAATGCATGAATTAAGGTAAGGACAATTAGGTAATATAAAATATAAATTTGTACCTACTCACCAAATATTTAGGAGAATAATGACTTAAAGATGAAAAATTTAAGCTATGTATTTTAAGATAAATAGGTTATCTAAAATTTACCAAAAAAATTTATCAAAAATTTGAGATAGGCCAGGGGTGAATTCATAATCTATTACTAAAATATTATCATTTTAAAACAAAAATATTGATCTACTGTACTTTTAAATTTATTTACTAAATTAATGTAGTTTTTGAAAGCGAAATCAACAAGAATAATTTCAATACTTACAAAAATGCTTTTTTTCTCTTTTTGTTGTATCACTTGTTAAAAGTGAAATTGTGTTGAAAGCGGAATCAATAATTATACTTTAAAAAGCTATAATAGATCAGCAAATAAATTTAAAAGTACGATAATTCAGTATTTTTGTAGAGAAATCAATAAGAATAATTTTAATACTTACAAAAATGTTTTTTTTTTTTTTATCACTTGTTAAAAGCAGAATTGTGTTGAAAGTGAAATCAACAATTTTACTTAAAAAAATTGTAATAGATTAATAAATAAATTTAAAAGTATGATAATTCAATATTTTTATTTGAAAATGTCAGTATTTTGGTATTTTGATAATACATCATGTGAATCCGCCCAAGGTAACACTGACATTGATAGTCACATTGGACTGAGCTTCCAATTTTCATTTCTTAGTTCAAAGGAGAATCCAGGAGTGAAGAGCCCAACGGCCATGGAGATTGATGCTATGTTCTCACATTACTTGGTCGCATGGTTCAAGATTGCAGTCGCACCAAACAGAATTTCGATTCAAACAAACATGGTAACATAATGTTTCTCCCTCCGTTACTGCCACCAAAACCTTCCATTAACCGCAAATCTATAACTCCATCTCTTGCTCTCTTCTTCACACTTCCAGACCCACCTCAACCAAACCAACGCCCACAACCTGCACTCGAAGAACACCGCCAAAATGAGAGCATATCCAACAGGTTCTACTGGACCAAAAAGATCCACAAGCTCTGTGTCATCGACCGCAACGTCGACCAGGCCCTTAACCTTCTTGACCATCTTCGTCTTCGCGGTTACCGCCCCGACTACCTCAACATCGGCAGCATAATTCACGCACTGTGCGACGCCCACCGTTTCTCCGAAGCTCACAATCGTTTTGTTCTCTCTCTTACTTCGAATTGCATACCCGATGAGCGAACATGCAACGTACTCATCGCTCGGTTACTGGATGCAAGAACCCCATTTGGTACATTGCATGTTATTCATTGTTTGATCAAAGAAAAGCCCGAGTTTGTGACTTCTTTGATGAATTATAACCGTTTGATTGATCAAATGTGCTGGTTCTCGAAGCTCATTGAAGCTCACGGGTTGTTTTTTGATATGAAAACTAGGGGACATAGTCCAAACACAGTTTCATACACTACTCTCATCAATGGGTACTGTAAAGTTGGTGAAGTGGGTACTGCTCAGAAGTTGCTTGATGAAATGTCTGAATGTGGAGTGAGACCGAATTCACTTACATACAGTGTTTTCATTCGTGGGATTCTTCGAAAACACGACGTTGAACATGGAAAAAAGCTAATAAGTAAGCTTTGGGAGGTGATGGTGGATGAAGATGATCAGTCTGTGAACAATTTGGCTTTTGGGAATTTAATTGACTGTTTGTGTAGAGAAGGATTGTTTCATGAGGTTTTCAAGATTGCTGAGGACATGCCTCAAGGGAAGAGTGTCTTTGACGAGTTTGCTTACGGGCAAATGATAGATTCATTTTGTAGATATGGAAGATACAATGGGGCTGCAAGGATTGTTTACATGATGAGGAAGAGAGGGTGTACGCCGAGCTTAGTGGCGTATAATTCTATTGTCCATGGGCTCAGCGAGGATGATTGTATGAGGGCTTATCAATTGTTGGAAGAAGGGAAAAAGTTCGGGTACTTGCCCTCGGAGTTTACTTACAAGGTTTTGATGGAGGGTCTTTGCAGAGAATGCGACCTTTGCAAGGCCAGAGAAGTTCTTAAAATCATGTTGAATAAGAAAGGTGTGGATAAAACTAGAATTTACAATATATATTTGAGGGCCCTTTCTCTTACGAATAACTCGACTGAGCTTCTTAATGTACTTGTTTTCATGCTTCAGACTGAATGCCAGCCTGATGTTATTACCCTCAACACAGTTATCAATGGTTTCTGCAAGATGGGGAGAATTGAAGAGTCTTTAAAAGTATTTCATGATATGATGACTGGGAAGTTCTGTCCACCTGATGTGGTGACCTTCACTGCTATTATATGTGGGTTGTTGAAGACTGGAAGAACCGAAGAAGCTTTTGATCTATTGCATAATGTTATGCCTAAGAAGGGTCTTAGTCCTGGTGTTGTGACTTATAATGCAGTTATCCGAGGCTTGTTTCGATTACATCGAGCAGATGATGCTATGGAGGTTTTTAATGGCATGGCGAGGGGTGGTGTGGTTGCCAACAGTACTACGTACACAATTATAATTGATGGATTATGCGAGTCTGACCAAATACCTGAAGCTAAGAGGCTTTGGGATGAGGTTATCTGGACCTCAAAGGTCCATGATAATTTTGTCTATGCAGCTATTCTTAAATGGCTCTGTCGCTCTGGAAAATTTAATGAGGCTTCTGATTTTCTATATGAATTGGTAGATTGTGGGGTAACTCCCAACGTTGTAAACTATAACATTGTGATCGATGGTGCTTGCAAATTAGGTCTGAAGAGAGAAGCTTATCAGATTCTGGGAGAAATGAGAAATAATGGGGTGGTTCCAGATGCTGTAACATGGAGGATTCTTGACAAATTACATGGCAATGTGAAGAGGTTTTGTGCTAAGGATTTAACATATAAATCCAACAACAAGGGTTCCACAGAAGTTGAATAGGTTAAATATTTTGCATCAGTGGAGCGAGTGTTGAGTAGAGGAGAAAATCAAGGAAGAAACGGAAAAGGTCCAGTTTGGGAGCAAATATGAAATTGTAGAAATTGACCTTTAACACTGATGTAAAGTGATTGAAAGTGGTGGGTTTGAAAATTTGCATTTGGGAATGACCGAGGTTGGACATAAATGAGTTAGATGTATCACCAACTAGGTGGAGGCAGCTATCTTTGTTGCAAAGCGACATCAATTGTCTAAAGATGGTGGTAAAACATGAATACAATTCAAATTGAGATGTTGATCCATAAAACAAACATTACTAAATTATGGAAAATTTCCTTGTATAAAGTGCAATTTGTAGGATGCTGGCTCATTTGGAAGAACTAGAGGTTTATTTGCTTGGGTCATACGTAGAAATAAGAATTGTGATGGTTTTGCAAAGAATGCAATCTTTGAATTCAGCAGCCATGATATGGACATTAGATGGGCTGCTGATAGATTCTCCAAGAAGCAAGGAATTGCTTATGTCAATTATGATCAACTTGCTTTTGTATCATCACTGTAAGAATGTAAGTTGATTTCCACTTAAATTCATTTGGGTTCTATGCCAATGATTCACCCTTGCCCCCAAAGAGAAAAAAATACTTATAATTGTTGTCTCTATAACATGTCTTCACCTTTGGATGATGCTGTTCCAGATAACTTACTTTTAAGTGGAGAGAGCCGCAAATTTTCTTCCCAACAACGCAAGTCTCATATTGTATCTCGATCCATCCATAAACTAACAATATAGAATGATACCATCTCTTACTCTTCCAGCTATTGGTATAACTTTCCATATTTTATATCTTGCGTTGCAAATGGTGCTTTTTCACGTATCCATTTCAATTACGTCAAAAAAAAAAAAATGCACAAACTATCAATTTACGAAAAAAAAAAAAAAAAAAGCAAAAGAAAAGAGGGCAAGACCATAGTCATTGCCACTGTTCTTTATAAGAATGCCTGCTGATTTTTGTAACTTTTGAACAGTTTAATAGTGTAATGTGTACCATTTGGGTATTCTTATGCCTTTCTCCCGCGATGAACACTTGGAGACTTTGCTATGGAGGTTTTGGAGATTTTGCTATGGAGGTTACTATGAAATTTTCGTACTTGATTTGTATGGGGAGATGGTAATCTGAACAAACCTCGTGAAAAGGTTGGGTCTTTATTGGAAAAACCTATTTTATCCTGCTTCCAAGAATTTCTCTTAAGCATCAACTTTTTCATTGTTTTTTGGTTCATTCTGATTAATCTCCTTCCATGCTTCTGATAGTGAGTTTTTCAGCTAATGAGGGTCTATGTTGGTGGTGGCTGAATCTCTAGTGTTTTTGGTTAAGGAATTGATTGACTTCTGTAGGTTTGATTTCATTTCTTGAGCTTCTATCTGCTTTGAACTTGTAATTCTGCTGTACCCCATTCTCTTTGTCTGGAATTGTACTTTGTTTGACACATCTATTTAGTTCTTGAATAATCGAACTTTGCCTATTTATTTTGATTCAGCAATTTGACATTTTACAGTTCTGTTACAATCCAGGATTTTTTCATATCTTTGTAATTCTATTTTTTTTTTAATTGAAGCGGTAATTTTTATTTATAATCGAATGTCGGAAATAAGAAGCGGCATAATAAACTCAGGTGCCTGCCCCTGCCAGACAAATACATTATCAATGAGATTGGCATGTTGAGCTAATCTAGTTGCTACCCTATTGCCCTGTCTATTGACGATCGCCACTTCATAAGAACAGAATTTCCGTAATTCGTTTGCCATATCAGTAACTCTGAGACCCGTAGAAGAAGTCACGTCTCTGGATTCTTTGAATATCTTCAAAACATTGGGTAAGTCTCCTTCAATGATTATCTCATCAATCTCCTGTTGCTGTGAAATGAGAATGGCTTCACTCATTCCATACAAACCAGCTGCTTGAGTTCCTTGATCTGCCCAAGTTGCATCCATTTTCTTTGAGAGGCCAGCCATAAACACCCCCGGTTCATTCCTAATGACAACTCCTATGCCATAGGTTTGGCCTAAATCCATAACAAACACACTAAAATTAACCTTAAATATACCTGCTTTGGGAGGAACCCATACGGCTGCAGCTTCTGAAACTGCAGGGGGGTGGATGATCATTTGATGCCCTTGTCTCTAGTGCCTCTTGTATTTTTTCAGTATACTCTGCCTCAACTTGTGTAATTCCCACCGGATTGGTCGAGATACCCTGATAGACCATTTATTTTTTCAGTATACTTCTTCCATTCTCTCTCTCTCTTATACCGCTGAAAACTTCTCTTTTAGACTGATCCACTATGGTTGGTAAACCTAAGTATTTGTCAATGTGCTTTGAACAAGCTGCACCCCCAAAATTCTTGGACAACCCCTTCCAACCGCGATCCCAGTGACGAGCCCGTCGCGCTCAGCTGCCGTTAATAAAGTTGACAACCTTTCTGCACAAATAAGGAAAGGGAAAAGGAAAAGGAAAAAGGTAATTAAAAAATAGAAAATTGAAATATATTTCCAAGCCACTATGAATTTGATTATGCTTAATTTCCACAACCTCAATGCTTTCTCATTGTCAATTAAATGCTATGTAATTATCTATGTTAGCCGCCTATATGGTTCTAAATATTATTTTCATCGTGGTCGATTTTGATATGTTCTAGAGTATGAGTATGCATTAAAATTTTATGTATCGAAAATAAGATTTTGTTAATCAAATAGAGACTAAGCCTATTATGTGCAATTTTCTTGAGGTGCTAACAGTATGTGACAATTGTAGCCTCCCAAAGACTTGATCTTGCATCCTGGTCAAAATTGTAGCCTTATCAGCTAGAAGGTCATCCAATAGAGGTGGAGGTAGACGTTGGAAGCCTTTGTTTCAGCATCTCCCTGTGGTGCTCATTGGGCGAAGTCACCCTGATCAGGCATTGGTGGGATATCAGCTTGGTTTGGCTGTGGTTGCTGCTATTTGGACTGCTCCTACTATTGAGCTCGGTGATGCTTATCCTCCAGAACATGTGCATCATTCAAGGGGAGGATGGAGCTATCGATGGAACTAATAGGATGAAGAATCTCATCACCAGGTACTGTATTTAGTTCCCTCACAAGTACCAATCGATTGATAAAACACTTGATGGAGTAATACACGTGAGTGACATTCGATCCTTTCAAATGAGCCTAGAAATCCAAAATGGAAGATCTATAGTGGCTCCTATGTATATGGCACATATCAATCTCGCCTCCTCCTGTCTTGTTGTCGATATGTGACTGCAGGGTGAGATCACACCAGTATCCCTATGTAGTAGTCTGAAGGGAGGTGTGAGAATCTATAATCATCACTGTACGTACAACCCACTATGCAACCTCGCCTCTCTAATGCTAGCAACTAAATAAAAATCAAGCTGATGAGCATCGCCTGTGGGTGGATACTGGGGATATTGTACCATCGGTAGTCTGAAGTGCTTCACAAACCCATTTCTGAAGTACAAAGTGTTGGACCAAAATAATTTTTTAAGTATAAAAATTGAATTTTTGATCGACTTTGAACCAAAATTAAAGTGGGACTCGTTCGTTGTTTCGAGTAAACTTTTGTGGATTCATATTTTACTCCGCGAGGAGAATAATGTAGTATATTCACTTGCTCAAATCGAGTAAGAAATAAACGAGAAAATAGGCTTCAAAATGAACTTCTTGAGATGTGGAAATAAATGGTATGTAATGTGGGATTTGACATCAATCCCACATTGGTTGAGGAAGAAATTCTACGTAAGCATATATAGGCCAAGTTTGTTTTATGGGATTGGGCCCCAAGGGGTACCACAATTTTATAAGCGGAACGAGCGTCTACATACCTTTGGTTTAAACACATGCACCACCCGTCCACCTCGCCACGCCACAGCTCAACTTGGCCAGGTTTGGGTGTGGTTTAGAGCAAACCCTATTTTTTTGGAGAAAATTCATTTAATTAATAGGACAAGAATTTCTTAATCCGAATTTAACTTTCAAGATCCTTTGAATCGCACTGGTTCGGATTTGTGCTTCCCTCCAATCCGAAATTTTTGAATCTAGTCCAAAATTATTTTTAAGTTGTGTCTGTTCATGGTGAACAGTTACTCAAGGTGTCTTCTGGCTGTTGCATTTTATCTTTTGGGTTGTGACTTTTAGTATGGTGGCTGTCTGAACAGTCACTAAAATGTCTATAAATACCCAGTTCATGCATTCATTCATTCATATTCATTGTTCAGTCTATTTTCGGCATTAAGGCAAACATTAGTGCATTGCAATTAGCATTTTGACATTAAGGCAATGTGTTGGAGAGTACACAACAAAATTTTTGGTTCACTGGACGAGTAGATTGGAGTGTTATTTTTACTCGTATAAAGATCATTGAATCCTAGAAGGCAGACGCTCGATATTCCATATGCATTGTGTGTGGGGGCGAAATTTGTCTTAAGGACATAGTGTCAAACACTACCATTGATCTACTTAAACTTCAATAACAGTTTCTGTTCTGCAACCGAGTTAGTATTTATATTGGTTAAATAAAAAGTTGCGTGTAACTCTTTCCTATAACTCTTTCATGCAAAACTGTTTTTGTGTATCTGTTTTGCATTTGATTGTTACTGTTTGTTATACATTACATGTTTCAAATCAGAAATTTCAATAAATGATTTTACTATATTTGGAATACCACAAACAACACAAAAGAGTCCTTGACAAACCACTTGCCTGCAAAACTCATGCACAACATTGACTATCGTGACACTTGGAGCTACGAAAATCTTAAGCCACTGCCTCTTGACAAATGTGGAAATGGCTCTCGAATAGGGCAAGTCCTCAAAGTTGACAGGACACTCAATGAGAACTGACCTCCTAGCGAACACGATGTGAGTCTCAACATAAGACTCATATGTTAGGAAATTTGTACGAAATTCTCAAACCTATGATCTAAGTAATAGGCTAGAACCTAAAGAGAATAGTTAAGGTGGCTTTGGAAGAGATTTGGAGAGAAATGAGAGTTGTGGAGAAGAAATGAGCTAAAACGCATGTTTTATAGAGGTTGGTGACCATCAATATTCCAGATTTGCTTGAGCAAGATTGTTTCCGCTTGAGCACACCATAATGCGAACATTATTTAGCATGCAATGCACAATCCGAATAATATTTAATATACAAGAATATAAAATCAAAAAATGTATCAGATTAATCTTGGACTTCATACTAATAATTAATTTGATCAAACAACTTGCTCTCAGAAAATTTAAGAACCAATGCAACATATATTCCAAACAACATTTATCAAGTCAAAGTCCTATTTGTATAGTCATTTATTCAAGACAGAATCTAAGACAGGATCAATCCTATGCTACTTTTTACAGATTTTTTCTTTTCTTCTCTTCAACCTTAGCAGATAGGGTTTTTCTTTAGGTTTTCTACCAGTTCTTCAATGTTTTTTCTTCTTTTATATTTACGAAGCATTGTCTTTCTTTAGTCCTTTAATTATCACAAGCAGAGTACGTTGATTCTATTTTTTGTAACCGTTTATAGTTTTCATCTCAACACAAGGTATTTGGTTGATTTCAATTCAAGTTCAATTTCTCTTTTGATTATGATCATGTTTTTAATAATTGGTTTTAGTTTTACTTTCGCCATGAGTGAGTAGTCAATTTCCTGTATGATCGGATGAGAGATTCTCATTCGTAAATATGTAGTTCGATCTAATTAGGATTTTTAATCTCAAAATTATTTTATTGATGGAACAATTGATTTTAAAAATATAGTTAATATGTATATCTCTTTACTTATCCATAGACAATTAGGTTTGACACGGACAATTCTTGGAATCACTGTAATCAACATGAATGTAAAGGCATGATCATACAAAAATTCTTTTTTTTTTTTTTTTTTTTGGGTGGGGGGGGGGGGGGGAGTAAGAGTGACTTGTCAAATCCAAAAACGAAAACATGAGATCCTCTATACATAAAAAAAAACATGAGATCTTCTATTCATAAAACAAAAGTTACATGTCTCAAAGAAAACATCACACAAATTTTTTTTAAAGCACATCAGATGGATCAATAGGATCAACAGTTGAATCATCAATAAGAACAGTAAAAGAAACGACGACAGGGGTGTTGGCCACAGGGACCTCGGTCGGGGGAAGATTCCTGCCTAAAGAAGAAGGGACGGTTACGTCATTCATAGATAAAAGCTCAAAATCAGTGGGAACTTTGGCTTCCACCAAGGCCGTATCCCACCCTTTCTTAAAATAAAAACCTTCAATCACTGGGATTTGCTCCGCCATAACACTCTCCGCCTTCTCAAAACCCTCATTATAAGCCTTGTCCTCAGCATCTTTGAGTGAAGATCGAAGGGTTTCCATATTTGCTTCAAGGGAAGAATTAAGCCCCTTCACCAAGGCAGCTACATCAAGAGTCACCTTCTCTAATTGTTCGGTTGTCTTTAACTTTTGGCCAAGCTCCTCATTCTGACCAAATAATTTCTCAATGTGACGCCCCAATTTTTCCAGGGTGATTTAGTATATTTTAAGTGACTTATGTGACAAATATACAAAATTCATCAAATGAATTGAAGTTCACGTACTGGTTTAGACTATACAATCAAAGCATCTAACATACTTTCAAGTAACTTAGGTACAAAGGATTTGTAATTTAGGCATTCATTTAATATCATAGTCTAAGTACCCAAATTATACATTTATCCCAAAAGTAGTCCATAATCGACACTATTATATTCTGTCGATTTTGAAAACACACCAATGCAACAAAACATAAGTCACAAATCTAGAATTTGCTTGAGCGTTAACATGAAATATAATATCTTGTCAGCCAACTGAGCACAAATATTTAAGATAGCTTCAGGAAGAAATTTTCGTCATTTCTTGATCTATTCCCTGCAAAAAAGTTAGGGTAAGCCAACGCCCAGTAAGAAAACAACTATCGAGTGTTAATCCCATCCCACATGACATAGGTCTACACGAAATTCTCAAATAATATTCTTGACAAGTAAATATAGCAATATTAAGCTCACAACGTGCTTAAAGCAGACATATGACGTACCAACAAATAGAAATCATTCGATTTAGCAAGTACCCAATATTACCTATTCGTGCCATGGGTCACTCTAGCCTTTCAATCTTAGACTATGGTTATTTACACCAGTACATCATTTGTTATGCACAAACTCTTAGGGAACACCGGGTACCTTTGAGGGCTCTAACCTTGAGTGTACCCCACCCCCTCGTCCTTAGATGCTTTCAATCAAGGCATGAGTAATCCCACACCTCGACGGATGCTATACTTGATCAAGACTTATTCTGGGTCTTTCACCTAAGGGAGGAGCGATCCCTACTTACTTGTCCCATATTGTTTCAAACATTATCATTTTGTGTATCACATCATCGATTATGTATACTAACTAAGATTATCACGTGCGATGCACCTTCCATCGAATTACCATCTAGTATACTCATGGTGCAGTTAGAAATAAGCATTTCAATACCATCTCGACATGTTAATACATATAAGAGTATATACTATTTCAATCTTAGTGTTATTATCACCATTGTAAACATGTCGTCATTTATCATTCTTTGTATGTCAACATATCTCATGTATATCATCATACTTTAGTGGTTGTTAATATTGACTAGAATTACATCGTTACTTATACAACCAATATATATACTCTTCATAACCATGAGTGTTGTATATAAATATATACACTCCTAAAGAGCTAATAATTTGTGATCGCCTCTATCTTTTGAGTTTTAGAAACTTTCGGGGTCTTTAGATAATTTCTAAAACACATGATCTAGTAATATGGCGTAATTTTATAATCTCTAAGACAATCTCATGACTGTTCGAGGTCAATCTACAATTTCAAAAACATTTCCTAACTATTAAAAATACTGATTTAGTGTTTAGATAATATTTTATGATCTTCTGGGGTCATTGTGTAATTTCAACAGGAACTTATCTGTTACTCCTGAAAACACAAAAGGGTTTTTCTGTCACTTAACAAAACCTTGGACTTAATTTTATAATTTCAGTAAGTAGGTATATGTTGTAACTAAAACCAAAAGGGGTAGTTTCTGAATTTAAGTCATCATCTCCATCTGCCCAGTACTGCTATTCTTCTTCTTCTGCCTGATTTCATCTCTTAAAATTATTTTTGTTAATTTCTTTAGGAGATACAAAACCCATTTGAGAGACCTACACATCCAAATAAGTATATAACATACCCACATATACACCAATATATGTGTAATTCCATCATGCATAAACCCACATGTTTCATATATATATATATATATATATATATATATATATATATTCTACAATCAATAGATCAAGGAAGATAACAAGATAGTTCTAATCCTACCTTTGTACTTGGATTGATCATCCCAAGAGCTTTAGCACCTCAACAATGGTGGATGACCTCTCTCTCTCTTTCTCTCCTTGTGTGTGTGTGTGTGTGTGTGTTTATCTTCCAAGACCAAGGCTACCCGATTTCTTTCTCCCCCCTTTCATTTGTTTTGCCTGTATTTATACACTAAGGAGGAGTGGTTTCAGTCTTTAGTCAAAGTAATGATCTATGGTCATGGGCGGCAATGACAGGCAATTATACTTCTTTGCCTTCCTAAAATGGTTAATGTCAGCTAAATAGTCATGGCAGGCTGCCATGGCTGTGCTATTCATCATCGTTTTTTTTAATTATTTTTTTAATTCATTTAATTTCGTTAATTAATTTAACTTAAGCTAATTTGTCCTCGGTACTAAACATAGTCAATATCATACTAGTCAGACTCGTTTTCATGAGAGAAATTCAACAATGAAGTCCATTTCTTCATCCAAGTTTTCTATTAAAAGTAAAAATTTTGATAACTCAATAGATATAATTATAAATTGTTTGGAGTCGATCAATATCATCAAGAGCTTTTAGGGAATCTGCCTCTGACGCCCATACATCTCCATAGCCAAAGACTTCGAGGCTAGGGCTTCTTTTACCTCTTTGCTCCTACTCACAACTCGAGACCCAAGGTCAAATACTCATTGCATGCCCTAAAAGAAGACATGAGGAGGAATGGGTTAAATACTAAAAAATCCGAGAAAGGAAAAAGAATACCAAAGCCTTACCACCACCATCAATTGAACAACACTTCGAACAAGAGAATCGTCGTGCTGATTCTCAAAAATTTGTAGATCGGGGGGAAGGATCGTAGCCTTGTCCAAACCCACCGCAACATCAACATCATCAGCGACAGAGTCCTTTGAATGAATGTCTATGTCTCTATCATGAGCCCGCATCCAAGGCTTCCAGACCTAAGCCCCTCTAAGATCGTCGGCGAACGGCTCGACAATGACTTTCCTTTTTTTCTCAACAGATTGCCCCCTTACCAACTTGATAATTGAAGTAGAATCCTCTACCAAGTCACTATCATCCTCGAGTTCAGGCGATAGAGCCCGATGCTTTGAAACAGTAGTGACATGACTTTTGTTTTGAAATGACGGAGAGGGTTCAGTTCGGACTGCAGATGGTCGAACCACCGCTGACGTATCTGGCTTTGGTGTCCCTCCAGAAGTCGGGCCTAGGACCAGATCAATGAAATTCTTCATGACTCAGTGATTAACCCTAATTAGTATGTAAATTAATATAGCTAAATAATTACATTATGTAAGATAAATCAGTTAAAAACTATAAATTAGGGTTTGTGCATAAGCTGGAGTTTTATGCATGTTATGTTTAAAATTTCAGGGTTTTGTGCAGAATTGCCGGAAAGTATAATGAGCATTTTGTTAAAGCTTGAAATTAGTAGGGAATAAAGTGTAATTCAAGACCAAGAACATGCAATAAGAAGATGGAAGGCCACTAGCAAACAAGGACCGTTCAGACGGTGGCGGTGGCGTTAGGACAGTGGTGTTAGGCGGTTGGTGCTCATCATCCACCTCCTGTTTCCCTGATGCCTATATAAAGGGACTGCACTTCATTTGAAACGGGATGGTGGGGAAAAAAAGAAAGGGAGAGAATCCAAGGGAGTCCAGAGAGAATTCAAGAAAAAGAAAAGAGAAAGAGAGAAAGTCATAGAGAGAATTCAAGATCCAGTCTGTCCTACTCTCTAGCCAAAACTCTGTATTTCTACATTTCTATTATGTCTTTCTATTTGAAAAATTGAATTGCTGCCACCTTTGTGCCTAAACTGATATTAAAGGTGGTTGTATTTCAATTGTTCCTTGTGAAAGAAGTGTCAGTGTTTGTATTCTATTTACTGTTGTAATGATAATTACCTGCATTTCTTACTTGTCTATAGTAATGGAGTGTGAGTAGTTACTTATACCCTTCAGTGAGGGGTGAACATATATATAATATTGGTTAAACTATGGAAATACTGATGTTTTATTAAGCTATATATATATATATATATGCTCACGGTTATGAACGCCGAGCAATATTTAATATTTTATACTATCTATTATTATGAACTTCATGCATGATACAGTGACGTATGTAATTGCATGTTACTATGTAGCCCAAAATTATGTCATCAGTGAATCAACAGCCTACCGGTTGAATATCTACGGTGTTCCAACAGTAAGGCTTGACCTCCAAGTGCACTAAGAATGTTTTAACTGTTGCATGGTACAATTGTCAGATTAATATCTAAATAATCCTCTTGAATTGCTTGTCTTTCTGGATTATTAAGGTTATTTAACTGATACAAAATATAAAAATTGTCAGATGAATAACCTAAATTATCTTCCTGAATGGTTTGTCCTTTTGGATTATTAGGATTGTTTAACTGATACATACTATAATAAAGTCAATTAAGTAATTCAAGTGATCCTCATGAATGGTTTGACCTTCTGATTTACTTGGATTAGTCAATTGACAAATAATACCACCAGTTAACCTAAGAAATTGTTGTGTTATGGTTAAATAATATCACCAGCTAACCTAAGAAGTTATTGTGATATGATTTATATACATCAGACCTACAGGTTAACTTTCCAGTGACTTGGAAGTTAATTGTTGTAAGGTAGCATTTTCAGTACTTAATCAATATAAAACATATGAGATCCTTAAACTAAAGGGTACTTTTTATATTATTGTTTTTTATCAATTTATTTATACATTTCATTTATTTAGACTAATTATCAATATAAGCTCACATCACAAACTATCTCATGTTACACTGCTTCAACAATAACTTCACTGTTCTTATTTTAAATTCTCATTATTAACACTATTCGTGGGATCGATCTTGGACTTAAACCGAGAAAATTACAATTCGACCACTTATACTTGAGTGTATAATATAAAATATCATATCACGAAATAAGTTCGAATCACTCAGTTTCTCCCTATACTTCTCTTCTTAGAACTCTTCGATACAGAAGATGAGGATGCCTTATTTGCCCGAGCATCTCTTTGAACCACTAATTGCTAAGAAGTGAGGGAAGGAACCGCTATAAAGGACTTGTAGGTTGGCTCGTGTCCTAGCAACACATGTGCAGCTCGACACAAAACATTTGTGGCCCCAAATCACCAAACTTTTTGCAAATTCGAAAGATTGACCTTAAAATTAGGCACCTTGCCCTTCGCAAAATCACCTGTAACAAATACAAAATCCTTTTAACTTTTTTTTTTTTTTATAATAAAACACATTGAAGAATGAAAGGGCACCAATGAAAATCGCCTAGTGCACCCTCTTCAAACGGACAATTGTAGTGGGGCTTTTAGCCATCTATGTTCCCAATTTTCGGGAACAAACAAAACATCTTTTTCATGACCCCTGTTCGAATCAGGGAGGTGGATGACCAGATAACGGTCGATTTTTTTGACCAGTAATTCTTATCTGAAGTGGGGGCAATCGTATAACAATCAAGGATTTCCCAAATACCTAAGTTGGTACCAAGGAGGTTGTTTAAGGCAAAAACCTGCATTACTATCCTGAAGAAGTTTGGACAATACTGAATGAGACAAAGTTTTAAAGAGTGTAGGACCCAAATAAGCAGAGTGTGGAGGGGGAACCTAATTCCTCCCTCTGTGATGGCTCTCGTAGGAATAGGAACAAATTCCTAGGACCCCAACAAGGGTTCATCCTCACCCACCACTCTAACAAACACATCATTTGAGATTGCATATTTGGATCGAAAATTGGATATCTAATCTTTCTTCATAGGAGCCATTGGAGAAAGTAAACAAGAGGAGGAAAGTGAAAAGGCACTTACAAAGAAAAAAAGGAAAAGAAACACCAAAAGACCTCAAAGTATGCAGAAATGAAGTAAGGAAGACAAAAAGACAATTATAGTAAATGATGGCCACACCCAGACGAAAAAAAGACTATAATAAATGATGTAACACACTCCTATGAAAAGAAGAGAGGTGCAGTTCGTCTTTTTGCAGGAAATCATGCTGGTCATTTAATGCGATATGATTAAAGAATTAAAAAAAATGTCTTGCTGATATTTGCCACGTGGCAAACATCCCCTGAGGGGCAAATGAAGGAGGGTAAAATGATTGCACACATAAAGCCCGCATAACTGAGCAATCACCATTACTCGGTCAAATAAATTGAGAAATGTTCCCTCGAGTTAATCAGGGGAAAACGTGGGAAAGAGTTCGGCAGATTTATAAGGATTTATTACAAACGTGAAAGGAAAAACCGGAGGAGATGGAAGTCAAAAGTGAGGAAAATTGTGACTGTTATGATAGATGTGCCATCTAATCTGGCTAAAGGAAAGGAACCTTAATCGAAGGATGAGACACATACATTATAAATAGCAAATGCTTAGGTTGAAGGTATACACTTCTTTTCTGTTATCGAACATACTTACTACAAAAACTTTTATTAAATTATGCATTGAGGTCACTCCGACCAGCTCAACTCCGGTATCTAGCAATTTGCTCGTTTTGCAGAAAAATGAGAGTGGCCCATATTTGTATTTCTCAATCAAATTCTAATGACTTTAGGTAATAGATTTTTTCCTCTTACATATTTATAAAATGAGAAATGAAAAAGATAAATATAAATATAATACTTGAAGGACCTCAAAATGACTTTGCATGATTAAACTAGTTAATGGGCTCACGTGTCCTGAAACACATGGCAAAAAGCCACCTATGAATGCCACGTGACTAAGGCAGAGTGCCTCTGCAGGTCATTGGTTTGCCGGCCCTCGCAAATGCCATAGAAAGCTGAATTAATAGAGGAAGTGTTCGATTAAGTAAACCGAGCAGTAGACAAGACTAAGCAAACACAGTGATTTTAGTTCTATTCTGAGTTTGTTTAGGATAGAGGAAACTAGTCTATCCCGGGTAATCAAAGGCGATGCGATATCGATAAGGAAGTTGTTTACGAATGAGAAAGGAAACCTAAAGAAGCTCCACCGTAAATCAATGGGATTCGGCTAGGAAACGGGTTTACCACCATGAGCCGTGCGAAAACCCTTGTAGAAAGGGCGTCAAGAAAAACTATAAGTATCATGTAATGCTTAAGCCTAAGGTACGCTCTCTCTCCCCTTTGGAATTAGTTCACTTAACATCAAAATATTTACTGACTTAAGTATCATAGTACCTCCAACGGACCGATCTCGAGTCTTTAGCTGTGTGTTCGTTTTGCAGGAGGGAGGAGTTTTGCTTTGTTTTCCCCCCAAAAACTACTAGATCCCTTAATCACCATCACTCTCAAAGGTACGCAATTTTTCCTCGTGCACTACTCATGGCCATCAACATTTTTTTGGGACTACGAGAATTCTGATGGAATTATATGAATTTCTTTATATCTAAAATATTGGTAAGAATGTATACTATAGCATCATAACTATTGAAGAACAACCACGTGATTTTGTTGAGGTAAAATAGAAGGTCAAGGAGTATACATTTTACTCATGAAGAAGGCTAAGATATCGAAGGAAGTATCACACTGAGGAAGGCTAAAATATCGAAGGAAGTATCACACCGAGATTTATACATTCCTAAGGTTTAAGTCATAGTTTTTTGGACTATTAGTTAGAACTACTAAGAACATGATCGATCACAAAATGTTATGATTGATCATGAAAGTAACAACTTTTAAAAGTAAAGTTACACATTTTATGGGTGAAGTTACGGTTAGTCATGATCAATCACAACCTTTCTGCATCAATGATAAATAACCTCAATCACCACCGAGCAATTGGTCCAATGGTAAGAATTCAATTCTTTTTGCTCAATTCTTGAGTTTGAGTTTTCATAATTATGGTAGTTCGGTGGAACTAAAGATACTCTTCAATGCCTAGAGTACGTTGTGGGGTCTTAGATTTGGCACCGGCGGTGGTGTGATGGAGTTTTGTGCAGATAGTTGTGCGGTGCCGATGAACAATGCTCCCTATGTAAAATAATCTATTTGCATATCTATTTTACGTACAAAAAAAAAAAACCCTCTTATCAATTGTAACTTAATTATTAATAGTAACTTTCATAATTTAATCACTCATTCATATAATAGATAATCACGTTCATGTAAAGAAATGGCTTTCAGTTTATCTATTTTCTAGTTTTTTGATTGAACGGTTATACCACATGATACCGCTGATGTAGTATAACCATTACATTGAATATTTACTCAGAA